TTCAACTTAAAAGTTAAAATGCTGCATTAGAAGTGGCAAAGAATTGTGAAAAACCCAAGCTTTCTAACTTCACTGCAAACTTGGTCCAAACCCAAGGTTGCTACAAGAACACCAGTGGTCTCATGTCTTTGGTCCTCACTTGCCTATAATTGGGCCCCAGGGAGAGGGAATTCTGCCTCTGAGATTTCCATCTGCAATCTGTTTTATTTCTTAAATAATAAAAAGTTACTCATTTATTTAGATTTCTTTTAAGGATGCAGATCAACACATTCCTTGATGATAATTAAACAAAGAGAGCCAGGGTCTGGGCTCAGCCACAGCAGAATAAATTTGGAGTAACTCCATTGAAGTCAATAGAAATGAGACAGTTACCTGATTTTCATGTCTCATGAGGAGAATATCCACAAATGCAACCACTAAGCCTCTACAGTATACTCATGCCTAAAGCCTAAAGGAGGCAAGGAGACCTAAGAACATTAGATGCTGCCAAAATGTTTTGCCAGAATTGCTTTAGAGTCCTTGAAAATAAGGAAGTGTCCAGACCAATAATTGGGGCCAGTATCCATATCGAGATGAGCAAAGGATTAACCACGACTTCTTTAAAAGCAGCCGGTACCTTTTCCTTCTGAAGAGAAGTATTAGCTGTCATCTCTAAACATGGACCCATTGCTTTCCCAGTTGTCTGCACTAACCAAGAGGAGCACTGATCTGACTTGTAGGCTGTGACATGCAGCGTCTCCGGCAGTCACAATTCAAGTGCAGAATATTGTTTGTCATGTCACTGGTCATGATTCTGCCACCATTAATATGGACAGGACAGCATCCTGCCTGAGAGCCTTCAGAAGCCCAGTAAGTCTCATTAGCATTCAAGGATGGGCTGACCATCAAAACAGGTAGACAACATAGACAACAATGTCTATATTCATAGACAGCAATGGCTACCATGCAACTTCTCAGACTGTGGAACTGAGCCTTACTGCTGCATCCTAAAACTTTAATGGTCTAGGCTAGTTATGTGAGATGCAGAGGGAAGGAGGCAGGGTTCTTGCTTATCTCAGTTCTTTCCTTCTAGCATTTTTGCTTAGGGTTTTATTGCTTGTGAGAGCTGGACTGACAGCACAGGAGCCTTACATCTTCTTTGTGCATAATAAGTCGATGGAACATGTACTTCCCCCATATTGCTCAGACAGTGTCTCAGCTTTGATCTGGAGGAACCACCGGTAGAGGAGGGAGAATAATACAGTCTCCATTGTGTTTCCACTCAGTCTTTGGCCTCTGACTTGGCAACCAGTGGGAGAGATGGGGACATTTGTCCAAAGGGGATTGTAGCGAGAGCATCTATCCAATTATATCATTTAACCCACCCCCGCCAAACTGTAAATGGAAGTTAGCAGTTTTGGTTGCTGCTGATTTGGGTCAGATTTGAATCAATGATAAAAAGGAGAAAGATTCTATATCCCATGTCATTCAGCTCTTTTCTAATATATGCCATAACCACTGTTCAGTATTTTTCAATGACACATATTGCATAATTAAACTAGCAGCTTGCCAGCTCTGAAACAGAAGCTGTACTAGATACTAGTCTATCACTATAATGTATTATTCTTTGATATTAAGCTACTTATCCTTGCCTTCCTGCCTTCCAACCACAGTGGCATCTGTTGCAAATTTCCCTTGATAGAAGATGCAGTGCATTGCAGCACACAAAGAGAGGCTGGGTTTTTAGGATGGCTTTATGGAGAACGTGTGTGAATAATTTGCATTCTTCAAGAGTAAGGAGTCAGGCTATAGGTGTGATCCACAGTTAACTGAGCTCTTCATTGACTTCGGTGCACGCTGGCTCAATCCCTGTGGACAAAACAGTCTGTAGCTGTGAATGATTCCGTACAAAAATCTTCCAGCAATAACATTTTGACAATCAGAGGGGCTAATAAGCTGCCTCACCAAAATCACAAGACCCAGAAGAAACTGATGTGTGGGTGGAGATTGGGAGTTGTCGCTCAGAAACAGTTATCTAAATTGAAGGAGAATCATTATGTGCTAAAGAGGTAGCTACAGGGTGGGCGCGTCTACACAAGACATTTACTGCAGACTAGACTAATTAGCTCCGCAGTAAACACCTCAGCCTCTACATGTGTGGCTTTGTTAGGCCGGAGTAAGCTAATAAACTCCACAGCAGGGTTGTACTTGTAAACAGAAGTACTATTGTGCTGCAGAATTTCTTACTCCGCAACAGCACACGTGTAGATGCTGACCTGCATGGCTGACTGGTGCCACCTTAGTCGGGGGGACATGTGCCCCACCAGTGACCAGTCAGCGACCAGGGGGAGTCTCCCCATGCCCAGTTGTGCTGATTGGGAGAGGGGCACTGGCCGGGAAGCAGCCGTGGTGCTCTCCTACTCCCCAGGTGGCACTTGCAAGGAGGGCACCAGCACTCCTGCCTGCCCCCCTACCTGTCACCTGAGCAAGGAGCATGGCCTGTCAGGGGGTGCATGTGCACGTGCACGCATTGCCATTGCTGACCTGGCTGGCTGGGGCATGAGGGTGCTTCAGCGCGGGAGCTGCCTGCTGGCTAGCCCTGCATTGGAGCACCCTCATGCCCCAGCCGCCCCTCTGGAGTATGTTGAGCCGAGCCCTGGGCTGGCAAACTGACCTCCTGGGTCTCCTGCCAGCCGGGGCTGCTCCGACCCAGCTCAGCTTGCTGCAGTCCTGGGTGCATGTGTAAATGCAGTGCCCAGGAGCAGTAAATGCCGGCACAGTAAGCGCCGGAATTTATCACGTTGCATTAATATGCACGTGCAGACGTGCCCAGTAGGTTGGTTTAAATAACCACTCCCCATATTCCTCATGATGGGCTAAATTGTCCACTGAGTTGAACAATGAAACCATATACATGCAAGAAACCACTCTGCAACTGGCAAAAGCGTTGTAATTAGAAACATTTTAAATGCAGTCACTACGTATATTTTTCCTTTAATTCTATTTATTTATTTACTCATTCCAACTGAATTCACTTCTCATGTATGATTTTAAGTGGCCAGCCCTGGAGCATGAAATATTTCTCTGAGTCAGGGAGCGTGCACAGCATAGACACTTCACTGTGCCCTTGCTCTGGCAAGGCCATCAGCTTTGGAGGCTGGGATGTTATATGCTGTATTCTGCCATGTGTTGTTTTGGGGTGGAAAACACATCTTAGCAGCGATGTCTAAGCAGAGTTTCCTATATCTTCCTCGCACAATTTTCTTTAATGGTGACACCAGGCTGGATAATAAGAAGCATCCTGTATGAAAAAGAAGGGAGTCTCAGACAAGGCTTTCAGAGTTCATTTTGTTGGCAGCTTTTTAAGTGCAGTTTTTTAGGCTCTTCTGTTTCAAATCCCATAATATTTTTTGAGTTAGTAACTATGAATTACGACAAGCTTTCTTGATATGCCAGGTTATAATCCTTTAACGCTTTTGTTTATTTCAGAATATAATAGGGAGCTGTATCAATTATCATGGCTGTATCACGGTTGTTCCTCTCTACTAGAATATTCATCTTGAGATACATCATCAGATGTTACCTGTTCTGACAATCACATTTTTTGTGCCATTGTTGGGCAACAGAAACAAAGAAAAACAAAATGTTAAGAGTGTAAGGGATAAAAGACTGTTGAAACTGTTGTTCTTTTCCTGTCTTTGGAATCTCCCAGATCTTGAATGTTTTATTCCCAGCTGTTATTTTGTTACCACAATGTGAATAGAAGTCATTATCTGTAAACATTTGAAGAGAGAGATGATTTTCATAACTTTAAGTCCTACAAAGGATTCTAGTAATCTGTTATGTGCATGCCAAGGTAAAGCTCAGGCTTTCATCTGGTCTGATCCCACCCAGTCAGCGTAAAATATTCCTTTGGTGAATGTCTAAACATACAGTATCTTTTGAGAGAGGTAGACAAAAAATGAAAATGGTAGGACTGGCCTTGAAGGCAGTAGAAGGAGAAGTTGTGTGATAAATAAAGCCGTATTTTAAAGCCCGCAGTCCTTTGTTTCTGGTAAAAATGTATTTCCACCAGTTTCAAAGAGTGGGTTTTTTATTGTTCTTGTTCTTAAGACATTGTTAAATGTGACCTGTGTGAAAGATCTTGTTTTCTGTTGCATTTCAGTAAAGTTGGTGGAGTGTCGTACAGCCTAGCAGTTTACATCCGCTCTCCAGAAACTTAATTGTGAGAATTTCCTGCCTAACAGTTTGAACCTGAATATAAAATTAATAAACACTTTATGCTGAGGTTAACTAAGGAAAATAACTGAGACAGGGCAACTGTACATTGTTCTGGGATGAAGACAAAGGAGGGGAAGAGAAACCATACTTAAGATGGCCACTGCCATCTCTCCTGAGGATAAACTATCTTCTAATGCTATTATTCTGTAAGGAACAGGGAAAAGGTTGAGTAAGGGGACACTCATCATTGTGCTACAACAGTCTGTATTACAAAACAAGCTGGTTTCCTATCCCTGACAATCCAGGGAAAGGCCAAGCATTGTGGAATGATCTTCCATCTGACTTGCAGAATATCTGTATGCTTGGGAGGGTGTAATGAGCAGCATCTGAGAAACTTCAGGGGTAAAACTGACCATCAGACTGCATGTGAAGCAGGAAACCCCTGACTTTTGCTTTTGCACACAGTTGAATAAGGAATTGTCTCCTGTTAGTCAACTGTTAGACACTGATAGGATGTGAAGTGATGCACAAGACCTGCATCGTGCTGTTCTTATGAGCTTCCTATCCCGATGTGAGCATCCTGAGTAAAAGGTGCAAAACCACGATGTGGTGGGAAAAAAAGAGAAACTAACTCCCATGCAGACAATTGTGTTTTTTGCTACTGACACCTGAGATGTTCACAATAATTTCCTTGTCATTTTGCATGCATTCCTGTAGGGTAAGTATTGATTCATGTGCTGAAGGCCCCACTTGCTGATCTGAAGGTCTTAATGCTGTTTGTTACTGTTTTTCCACAATAGGGTATTTTTCCTGAATCTCCCTTATGAATCTATCATGGAACGTCTGGCTCAGCGGAGGATTGATCCAGCCACAGGAGAAAGGTTAGTGCTAATGTCTCATGTTTGACAATTTGTAAGGCTGTCAGCAAGATGAAAGCTTCTGATAGACTTCATACAAAGCTAAGGAAAATCAAGAAGGCTGTGGTCTTGCATTGGGAATCCTGAAAAGTTGAGTTCAAATATTCATAGCCCTCAGGTACCAAGGCCTCATGCCAGAAGTTCCAGTTCTCAGAACAGTACAGTTTTAAATCCCTGATAGTGAGATCTGCAGCAGCAACTGGTCAGACTCTCACTTATCAGTTAAATTGGCTGACAAAATAATGCTAACAGAAGATGTCTGTAACCTAGTCTGCAATAAAAGGAGATGGCTTTTGCCTGCTCCTGAAGCTTGGAGGCTTTCCAATAGAGGGAGATGGAGATCTTGCTGCATTTTCCTTCCCCATTCTCCGTGATGGCTCAGTGTACTGGGAGGAATTCATGTATTTCTCTTAGGCAGTAGATGAGACTTCTGTGTGAACCCCTGGAAATGTGAAATGTTGCACATATGACAGCTTTTCTTGTTGGCAGTCACTCCAGCAGGTTGGGTCAGTGGTGTTCACACTGCACCGACTGATCCACCCTACCTGTTGTGAGAACAAAACAACAGTGATCTCTCTTCCTCACTTCCCACCAGAAGTGGCACTGTAGTTGTGCCCTGTTTTTGCTATTGGCAAATCTAATTTGTGAGCAGAATTAACCCTCTCCTCTTCCCCAGTCACCATTAAAATATTCCAGAGTCCTTGCCTCAGTGTGTCTTACTGAATCAATACCAAATGCTGGGACTTTTTGGACTCCTAGTCCTCATCAGTTAAGGATATAAATATTCTATTCATGCCAAAGTGGTACACTATTATTCAGACATTTCACTCTGGATGCAACATTAATTTGCTATAACTGTTCTTTCTTCTTTTGTGCTAGTAATGAGGGATGCAGTTATTCAGAAGAAATTAATACCATGGAGCAAATCATTCCCACATCTTTGCATCTTTTATCATTAGGATTAGCTTGTACAGTATCTGCTCCAGTTAACACGCTTTCCATCTTCCAGAGTCTTGGTTTTATTCTCTCCAAATTCAGTGTGAATTGAATTGTTTCAGATGCTACATCTAATCCTAGCCATTATGCTAAAACTGTGTCACTGGATCCAGTGCCACACAGAGCATGGACTAGCCTTCAGCTCTATTCTAAGCTCCACTAAGGTAGGATGAACATGTAGTACCCACCACAGTTTCTTAGACGGAGCTGTGTTGAAGTTCTGTGTAGAGGAGGATTCTGCTTTTTGTTCTTACTTCACCATGTTTCCCGCCATGTTGCATGCAAATCTTTTGCAAATCAGACTTGCTTTTGATGTGATACAGTAAGAGAGATGAACTTTTTTTTTGTTAGAGCAAAAGAGATGATCAATCAGAAATAGCCTGACTGTGGCATCGAGTCTAAGTCCCTGTCTGCAAATTAGCTTGTATAATGTCCTTTCCAAGGCTGTTGCATGGTTTGCAAACATGGTCACAGCACATTCTGGTCCTCACTGCCCCCACCAGCCAAACTGTTGCAGTGTTACTGCATGGGTTCAGATGATAAACACCACTCGCTGGCTTGCTAAACGCTGCCACGTGGATGAATAGAACTTTGCTATTGGAACAGTAAAGCCAACCCCCGACCCTTTGGAAATCATAAATCCTAGCTCTGTGACACCAGTGTGTAAAGCTGGAAAACACAAATCTGATTTACCTTCATCTGTCATAGAAAAGCTAACAAGACTTAACAAGTTCAAGATGATGAGGATGGGACCTCATCTGGGGAAGAGACAAAGAACATTTTATATA